GCACAAACTGGGTAGAAAAAGTAGTTTCCAGCAACAAAAAAATCCCACCTCCACCTCTCCTCATCCACCCAAATTCAACAGCCATCATGTCCCATCTCAACTGTGATCACCTTCTAACCATGGAAGAAGCATGTTCAAGACAGCTGCATCATCTGGGTACCTATGTCCACAGATGCTCTTTAGTTCTTGGAGGGAAAAAAAAATAAGCATGTCTCAGTGGTGATTCACCACTGAACACACAAGACTGAAGTAATCTTGGAGACATCTCTCAGTTCCTAGTCACTCTAGAAAGTGAAGGGCAAGTCTGTTCCAATCTTTGGTATCTGCAGTATCTAAAATGATGGGTGCTGAAACTCCCCCAGGCAGTCCTTTGAGGAAAGAGCAAAAGGGAAAGAGCTGGAGCTGAGGACTAGGAGGAGATCTTATATTCTCACTGTGCTACCACACCAACTCCACCCTGTAGAGTAGCTGTGCAGTTCTCTCCTTCCCTAGTGAAAACACAGTGCAAGCCACTTCCAAGTCCCGTTATGAAGAACCACCAGATAACACTCAAGAAAGACTTTGGAAACAATACATAATATTATTGTTAGAGAGGTTGGAAAGGTTACTTTCCAACCCATGATTCTATTATTACTGTTAACAGTCTTATTTCTTATAATCAGAATCATTACTGATGAGGATGCTGCCTGCCCAACGCTGGCTGAGAAAACTGCAGGCTGGGGAGAGAATTCATCTGTTCAGAGCGTAGAAATGATCAAAATCTACTTCTGCTATTTCTACTCTGGGATGAATTCCTCTGCTTTCATAGAATCATAGGATGGTTTGGGTTGGAATTAAAGATCATCAAGTTCCAACCCCTATGCCACAGACAGGGACACCTTCCATTAGATCAGGTTGCTCCAAACTCCACCCAACCTGGCCTTGAACACCTGCAGGGAGGGGGCATGGGATAACACAGACATCTATAATAGAGCCTTTATCTTATTTTTCCTTGCCAATCATGTCAGAAACTTAACCCATCAACAAGCAGGTACCCAATCTCAGCCACCTAAGCCCACAGCTGAAGGAGAGAGGTCTGACTCTCACACTCATCAATGCCTGTTAACACACACTGACTTCATCAGGAGATGCAGTCACCAGCCCCCTCTGCCTTCTACTGCATCATGGACAACAGCCTGGGTCTCTTCTGACCTCTCAGATACAAGGGGTTGCCTGGATCTGGTGGAGTAGGAAAACGTGATTTCCTTCACTGCACAACTGTGGTTCAGAGACAGTTTGATTTCCCTTTTCCTGTGGGAGATGCTATGGTACTTGGATTCCAAGTCAATTCTCCATGATGTCTTTATTATTTCAAATAACCAAACCCACTGCAGTAAAGCCTACTGATTTGGCTGCTAATAAACATCACAAACTGGAGTAGCATCCGAATTTCTGAAGTAGTAAATTCAGCTCTCAGCTACAAAACTGACAGGAAAGCAAGCAAGCAAGCAATGCAAGCAAGTAAAACATCCTAAGGAAATTATCGTTGAAATTAACTGCAGACATAAATTTATCCATCTGTTATCATAAGTGTTACTTGAAAATTATTTGCCCATAAAAATGAAATAAGCCAGAGTGATTTTTTTTTCTTAAACACTGACTTCATGTGTATAGTCTTAGTTGCCAAAATATTAACTCTTATTAACAGCCCATGTGCTCTTGGCTGCCTCTCTCTTTCTTAACTGTAAATGGACCTTTATAAATTGCCTGTATATATCAAGTCTAATGTGCTTCACTGTTATTATGGATCAACAATTCCCAGCAATCCAGGATGGTTTTTCAAAACCCAAAACCCAAGCAACCCCCCAAATTTCTCTTGGAAGTACTTTATTTAACTACCTTTATTCATCCAAAGGGAAAAACTGCCATGCCTGGTACCTGAAGAATATCATTTAACTACGCAAACAATAAATGCTGTTTCATTACTAGTGTATAGTTACTGTGACTATAGGGATGGCGAGATTTTCACATTAAGCCTGAATACGGTAAACCCTGGCAGGAGAAGAATGAAGTGCACAGAGCTGGGTCCCATTTTACCCAAAGCCTGTTATTTTTCTTGGAGAGAAGAAAGAAATGAAAGTAGAAAGAATAAATGGCCATTTTTGCTTCTATATGTTTTATAAAGGAATAAATTAAAAGTCTGAACTGCTCCAATGCATTTAAATTGTGAGCAATGCCCCAGATGGTGAGGAAGGGGAAAATCTATTGAAAAGACTACTTTTTATATTTAAAAACGACAGAAAACTGAAAAGCTCCTTTTAGAATTGTGTAATTTTTTTGTTTAATGCTTCTGACTGGAACAACAACAACAAAATCTTTCAACAGTGTAAAAATGCTTTGCTTCACTTCGAGGATCTAAAAGTTTTACCCCAGCTTGCTTAAATATTCAAATACCCGTCCCCTTATAGTCTTGTGCTCAGCTACAGACCAGACTCTCAACCTCCCATGCAATGCACCACAGGGCCTTCGCAGCTCAGTTCTAAATGGCACATAGCAAAACAATTTAACCAGGACCACCACTTTACAGAGGAGAACGACACCCAATCACTTGGGATTTTGACCAACATCTGCAAGAAGTGGACTTGCTTTTTCAGAAGCAAACAGAAAAATTCCGCTTTCCCCAAATGCCCAATTTTCCACCAAAAAAAAACCCAAACCAAAAAACAACCCTACCAGCTGAAAGACATTGGTTTGCCTTCGTTTGCTAACAAAGCAGGATGAAGAAGGTAGAAACTCTATGCATAATATCACTAGTAACCGGGCTGTAAACACATAGAGTTGCACAGGCACCTAAACTAACTGCCTGCCACATTCCAATCAAAAGAGTAATCATGCAAGTAGGAATCTCTCCTACAGCAGCCTCAGCCCATAGCACTGGGTTTAGGAAAGCTTTTCCAAGGTGCTTTCCTCAAACAGGCTAATTCAAGTAGTAGATATAAGAACGCAAAACACAAATGGATCAATAAAAGCCAGTCTTACAATTTAATGTGTGGGAAAACACACACAAACAAAACCCAACAAAAACCTTCAGGAGAAAAACTCCACTTGAATCCTAAGAGAAAATCAAGAACTTTGCACTTTGGCCACACAAAAAAGTTTTGCCATTGAAAAATTAATCATTTTCTCACTATTTCATGCATGAAGAAAATAAAAAAAAAACCAACAAAACATCCCAGAAAAGAAAGGAGGAATTAATTGTACTTAAAGTGATATGGCCTGCAGGGATTGCCTGCTTCAGTGAGAAACACCAACGGGATGCTGGAACAAAGAACCCAACCAAAACGTTTTCCTTGGTGTCTCCTGCGCCCTGGTTTTCCATAAACCCAGCTGCATGCATCTGTTCTGTCCTGCTACAGTCAGTGCTGGGAAAGAGAAATAATCCAGCAACACAGAAAGTTTTCAGCATCACCAGAAATGGCTGATGGGGAATGAAATCTCAAACCTACCACAACTTAAATGTCACTTCCTAGGGAATTAGTATCCATTTGCTTAATTTCATTTCTGTTATTAGCAGAAACAAACAGCTGCAATGGATTGGATTCGTGACCCACCTACTCCAAGATCCTGTCTCAAGCCACAATCTGTAATTGACGCCTAGGAAAAAGTGTACAGAGCAGGACAAGTGGGCAGCGATGTCCAGTTTACCCTCTGTGCTCCATCATATACTGACTAAGGGGCTTTCAAAACTGAAGACTAAATCAAAACCATTGTGCTCAATAATCTCTGATAAACTTCTCTCCAATCTGCTTTTTATGAATCCCTGTCCAGTTATGAACCACCATGATGTATCTTCCTACTGTAAAAACAGTTAAACAAACTCCTCAGACAGAAACATCAGGCAAGCTTGAGATTAAATAAGCTTAGGAAAACTCAGTCTGGATACACTCAAAAAACAAATACATCAAAACGCATGTGCCTCTGCTAAACCTTGCGGCTTTTAATCAAAATTCCCACTGAAGTGAGTAGCAAAAAGTGAGTTGTTGCCAAAGTTCATAGCGAGAGACATGGGACGAGAAGCAAAGCTCTGTCAAAGAATGAGAAACTGTCAAGGAGAGGGAACAGGAAGAGCAGATCAGTTCCCAATGCAAGTCTCAGGCTTCCTTGAAGTTGAGGGAGCTCAAAGAGCCACTTAAGCTGGTGCTCAGGACTCTCACTGAATAGTTATTATTTATACTTTAATGACAGAGAAAAGTGAATTACACTGGAAAGGGAAAAACATTTAAAAGGGGAGAGAAAGGAGAGTAGCACATACTGTCCCAGATTCACATTAGTACTACAGACATCTTTGTTCTGCAGACTTCATGGAGAGAATTTAAACAGGCAAGGACACATTGGATTTCTCCTTAATGATTTAACATTCTGGTATTTAGCTACAAACATAACTCACACACTTGTGCGAGGTCCAAAACCACCAGTCTGTACAGACCCATCACTAAAGCAGCTGAGTCGGCCATCAAGAAACAGGAACTACAGCAACACCAGAAGGTTTGAAACCCCAGGCCAGCACCATGAACCACGCACGCATGCAAATGCCATAGCAAGGTTTACACTCCCACAGTCACCACGTTCAGTACCCAGGCTTGCAAATTCAAAGGCAGTTCAACTACCTCCTACACTGTAGCTACAAACACAAACATGGTGTGAGCACACCTGAAGCAGCCCATAGGTTGGGCTGCAAAGGGAACAAACAGAGCAGTGAGAAAAGCATCAACAGCTTCACATTTCTACAACTGGATGAAAAGCAAAGGAGTAGGGCCTGTCCACAGCATGGCTGGACCCACACCTACCTCCTGCACCAACTCACTGTGTTTTAAAAGCAGGTTTAAGCAAGCAAAAACCTTTCTGCTTCAAAGGGAAGCCCCCAAATAAACCCCTCCACAGGGCCAGAGACAGAACCCCTGAAATATTCAGAGCACTTCCAATCACAATAACTACACAACATAGAAAAAGTCGTGCTTTACCTGCTCCAAAGGCAAAGAAGAAGCTCTTATCTGTATTCTCCCTTAAAAGCGCCATCACTCTCTTCCCCATCCTCTCATTCCTCTTGTAGATGAGCTCCTGTCTGAAGTAGCTGTCTATCTCCTGAGCAGTCACCTGCTCATGTGGTGGGAGTGTTGTATTGATGAAGTTAGGTACCTGAAATGGAGAGGGAATGCAGGTCAGGTGACAGTGGTTAAGTAATCCCCAAAACACCGGTGCTTTTAATCCAGCCTTATTTAAACCACCTGAGCATCACTATCATACAAAAAAACCCAACCACTAGAGCCTGTGAGAAACAAAAACCAAATCACTGCTAAGAACCTGGTTTCTTCTCTATTCCTTCAGCAGGATGTAGTCTTAGGTGTTACATTTGGATGAGTTACTAAACCATTTATTTGGATATTGCTGAATATTACACCTTGTTCAACACAGTTCATGGGCTATTTAATATCAGAACAAATTCTGTTATGTGTCCTCAGCCAAGGTCACTATGATCTTGAGTAAGGGCTGCAATATTTGGCTTTTACATGCTCCATTTTAACAACATAACAGTTAAACTAGGGAAGGTTAGCAAATCCATATATATGAAGATGTAAACAGGGTAAACGCCTCAGTTTTCTTGCAGCTTTAGATACTATTACATCATGCCAGAGAAAACCATGTACTGCAACACAGAAATCCCAGGAACATTCCAAAGAAGAGATTTCCACAAGAACTGTTCCTTCAGTCCCAGTTTTTGTGAGGAGAAATGTTCATAGGCACAGAAGAAAGGTTGAAACCCCAGGGACAGCTTGAGTCAGGGGAGCAGACCCAGGAATGAGCCAAGACCCAAGCTATAACAGAGAGACAAGCAAGAGCTCTGATTAAGCAGACAGGAGTGAGGGCAGCCTTCAGAGATGGAAATGGAAGGTGAAAGTTTTGGGGAACATCAACACCCACATAAGAGAAGTCTTTTCTTCCCTGCTTTTGGCTGAAGGGAAGTGAAGGCTGGGAACTGATGGGACCTGGCCTTAAAGCACCTGAGATGCTCTGGGGAAAGTATGGCACTGCCAGTGGGGACAACCTGCTCTTACCCAAAGCAGGAGTAGCAATGCTGGGGGATCCAACGACTTCGTGCATCCCATTCCAACCAGGGGAAAGCTCTGATGCTTTGGGTCTAGATATACTGAGGATAGAAGTTGTGATCAGACTCTGACCAAGAGGGTCTTTGCCAAGCTTGTGCAACTTCATCACTTGCAATAATATATCCACATCCAATGTGTTAACTCATCTTTATCTAACCTAAAATACACCAAATGGAGCCATTTGCTTGCCTTTTTTTCCCCTCCCTTTTCTTCTTTCCCTTCTGTGAGAGTTTCCCAGTGTCTGAGAGAGAAATTTAAAACCAAGGACTGGGTTTTGTCAGCATTTCACAAGCTTGTCCAAGAAATAAGACAAAGGAAGGCATCACCTCTAGAGGCACAATATCAGCTACAGGTCCCAATGCACCTTGTGCATTCCTGTATTCCTATGATTGTCAAAAATAAAACATACATGTATGTTTCTGCATGTGTGTGGCAGAGGACAGAAGATAAATGACTGAAGTAAGTATGCCCTTACACAGTAGTGCAACCACATTCTGAGCTACGACACTGGCCCCATTAATCACCTCCCTCCTCCCTGTATTGCAGTTCCTTTCCACAGTCAGTGACATACACCATGCCTGGCTTCAAGGAGGCAGCTGCTCCTGTTGATTTAAGAAACCCTTTGGATTCCTAACCACCAGACAGGGATCAGGAAGTCAAGAAACAGTTACACACAATTAGGAAGCCATTAACTGCAGCCAGAATTTAAGTTTGTTGTTTTTTTGTCTGAAAAAAGAAAACCGGTTCTTTTAAAAGGATGGGCTAAAGAATGCACCAGAGGGATGTGCCTTCCCTTTAGCAAGTATTTTTGTTTCCATTCACTTTAAAAATTAATTTAAACACTTTAATTATAGCTATTTGTTGTTCTGAACTGAGAGTGAATTGATGAGACATTTGCTGTGCCAATGGGTGAGATACTGACCTGATAATAGCTGAATATTGCCACTGGTATTTAATTGTACAGTGGGGTGGATGATGTGTGTTGAATATTCTAACGTCTAATTTTGCTGTTCATGTAGAAGAGTAGCAGCTGGATCAGTAGTATAACACAGTGCAACCCATCACCTGGAGTGTGTGCTCACTGTGTAGTAGATACACATGACAAGAGAGAAATGATCCTTTCTGTCCAATCTCTGCAAGCTATTCAGTTTAATGAGAATCCAACCAACTCATATATATACACACATATACACATATATACATATAAAATACACACACATGCTACAGATTTCCCATGGAAACTCAGTAATATATTTCATTCAGAGGTATTCAAAAGAAAGAATATTTTGACTCAATCAGTTAGAACTCTGTCTTTTTTCTATTCCTATTTACTTTGGGTTACAGTTCTCCTGTGGACAGTATAGATGGACCTCAAACTCAGACCTTAGGTACAGTCTGCATTTCTTATTTAAGACTTTGAGGGTAAAGGAAGAGAATATGAGAACAAAAAAGAAGTCCCAGCCTTCCAGAAATTTCTCTCCCTTCACACTGCCTGTGTAATTTTACTTGAGTCAGTATCCCTGATGGAGTATGTGTGGCTAAAGCTCCGTGCACACATCCGAGCTCACAGTGCTGTGGGATGCAGGCTGTAATTCTTCACCTTTGAAGTCAGTTGGAGCTTTAGGAAGAAGAAAGAGAAAGGATCGTGAAGTGGTTATGACACTACCCTGAAAAAATGGTTGTGCTCCCATGGGCGATACAAATCTCTTGCATGATCACAAGCATATCATTTGGGTTTAGACCTTCAAAGGAAACTCGGCACTTAACCTCCACTAAGTATCTTTGAAGCATTTGGCTTTATTCCTCCTGTCCCTCAAAAGTCCATCTGTAAAATGGGCACAGCAATACTTTCCAACCTGGTGTTACATACAAGGCACTGGCTGAATTTTGCTGTTGAAGGACCCAAAGGAAGATCCAAAGTACAAGATGCTCAGTGGCAGCCTGTATTCCCACAAATACTTTGTGGAAGGAGGCTGGGAATCTGCTGCAATCTTTAGCAGAAGAGCTAACAACATACTTTAGCTTAGAAAAATGCATCAGCTGTATCTCAAGATCTCTGCTGTGCTGTCAGCTTTGTCTATAGAGACAAATGAAAAAAAGGCAAGCAGAGAAAAGCCGAATATATTGGTGCAGAGTCTTTTATCACATTTAGGGCTTACTGCCAAAGCTAGCTGAAAATTCATGAACACAGGACTGCGTTTAAGTACATTTTCTTATTTACTAGTTTTTAATATTTGGACAAATATTCTGGGCAGAGGCACAGTGCCAGGGTTGTGAATATCTATCTGCAAACAATTTTTTGAGACACATAAAAGAACCATCAAATTTGGTTATCTCTTTTTTTTTTTCCCTTGCTTTGGATTTATTGGCTGCAGTGGAACTGCTCTAGATTCAGTCCAGTATCAAATCACAATCAGATGTGGAGGGATAGCGTTATCGTTCCTACTCCTGTACACTACATTTCCCGATCCTCTGACAACCTCTTCTGTCCTTGTTCTGTTCCAGGGATGATAGCCTACTTCTGGAATGTGCATTCAAATCGTAAGATTATGTCAATGGGAAACTAACGCTACCAACACGTGAACAAAGGCTGTGTGCCCTTTCTTGCCTGCATGCAGGCAGTGGTGGTCTTCAATCATAAGTCTATCTGCAGGTGGAGAAGAGGAAGCTTAGACAGGGAAATGGAATGCCAACCCCTGCCATGGAAAATACAGTGATCCTAAAATCATTCCTGCCATTATCTTCCTATGCCTTGGTCAACCGTCTTGGCTTCTGAGACTCCTCTCTCCCACTGTCTCCTAATCAGCAGCTACCTAATTGCTTTCCAGCCTCACTCCTGTGCAATGTCCAAACTCCAGACTGCTGCAAGTACAGTACCATCACTAATCCTTGCAATGGAATCTCAATAATAAAAAATGCCTTATTTCTCCTCAGAGCATTCCCAGGCTAAATAGAGAAAATAGGAGGAGGCACTCCCAGATTCACAAGGGACATCTATGACAATGTGGAGAGCTGGCCACCAGCTTTGTGAGTTCCAGTCTAGCGCCTCAGTACGGAACTATCCATCTTTCCTTGACAGGAGGGCTCAATCTCCATGCTAGTAATCCTTATATCCAGTTGTTTGCAGGGAGTTGTTCCCACATCACGCCAAATACATTTATTTCTGTTGCTAAACATGATAAAGATTGGGTTCTCTTTATTACTCTTCTGGTTTATGAGCTTTATGTGGGCAGGGCCTGAAGACAAGTAAAGGATCCTGCTTTGAAGGATTTTCCCTGTACCACACAGGTCAGGAACTTTCATACGGTTGACTGCACTATGCAAGATAAGGATCTCAAGAGCTGACAGCACAGCTTAGGGGGGCTGCCAGGGAGCCAGAGCAGCATCCTGAAACCTGCTGGCTCCTCCAACAAACTGAACAGCCCTAAATTCACACCAGCCCTTCTTGGGTCAGAGGCTGACATCTGAGCTCCAGTTATCATTTGCTTATGAAGGGAGGATACCCTCCCGCTAACCAGCCTTGACAGGGCACTGTGATTTTTACTGCACTGCTGCAAAATATACTGCTCGGCACTTGAAGACACCTGTTTTCCTCTGATTTATGGACCCTTCTGGCATCCTGGAGAGCCGTATCCACTTACTGCAATGCCTGATATGAAGGATTCAAATAGTGCAAAGTGAATGGGCTGCAAGAGCAAGCATCTCCGCAAGGCGGATGTGGCTGCTGCTGACTCGACTGGTTTTCCTCCAGCACTCCTGAGCTTCCATCCTGATGGAGACTTCAACAGTTAAGGGGGTGCCAGGTTAACATGATTTAGCCCAAAGCCCAAAGTTGTCAGCTGCCAAGTAGATGAGCTTCCAGCTCCAGGGAAAAGGAGACCAGGAAGGAGCTCCGCAAAACAGTGTCCAGTCAAAGCATGTTGTGATTAATCCATGATGGCTTTCTTTAAGCATCAAAATTTGAAGTAATACATTAGAAGCCTTAGTGGACTGTAAAAGGAGTCTTGAGTCTTCTGGGTCAGTTCCATCACT